TGCCACTTACCCCCCCCCCCCCCCTCAACCTAAATGTAAGGCGTGAGGAGGTCTGTTTCACTGTATCTGAAGAAGTGCACCTGCACACAAAAGCTGATACCCAGAATTAAACTTTGTTGGTCTTCAGGGTGCCGCTGGACTCAAACGTTGTTCTGTTTCTGAATCGACTACTTCAAACGAGTGATCACTATGACAAACCTCACTGTAAAGGCCCCTGCTATTTCAGTTGTGATAGCTGCTACTAACTAGGGATATTCCTACCCTTCCAAGCCCGAAAAGAGGACATAAGAACATAAGAGACGCCAATGTTGGATCAGGCCAAAGGCCCATCCAGTCCAACATTCTGTCACACAGTGGCCAGAAATACCAGGTGCCATCAGGAGGTCCAGCAGTGGGGCCAGGACACTATTTCCCCCCCCACCCAGGCACAAAGAATACAGAGCATCACTTGCCCCAGACGAAGAGCTCCTATCTATACCTTGTGGCTAATAGCCACTGATGGACCTCTGCTCCATATGCTTATCTAATTCCCTTTTGAAGCCGTCCATGCTTGTAGCCGCCACCACCTCCTGTGGCAGTGAATTCCAAGTGTTAATCACTCTTTGGGTGAAGAGGGACTTCCTTTTATCCGTTCTAACCTGACCGCTCAGCAATTCCATGGAGTGCCCACAAGTTCTTGTCTTGTAAGAAAGGGAGAAAAGTACTTCTTTCTCTACCTGCTCTATCCCATGCATAATCTTATAAACCTCGATCATGTCACCCCTCAGCCGTTGTTTCTCCAGGCTAAAGAGCCCCAAGCGCTTTAACCTTTCTTCATTGTTTTTTTTTTTTAAAGCCCAAAAGAGGACAGACACCAAATAAAGAGGACGTGTCCTTTAAAACGAGGACATCGAGTAGCCCTATTTAACATCATGCTTTTGAAACTCCCTGCTGTGCCTTCCAGCTGTTTGACTCAGGCCTGTTCCGTAGGTAGGGTAAAGAAGGTGGTCCAGTCCTAAGGTGCTGGAGGGGATCGCACCGCTTGAGTGTAAGAAACCACTTAGCAGTAATCCTGTAAGAACAGTTGTTATACCAAATAGCTAAATTACTTTTTTTCCCCTTGCAGTGGTTAGAAATCTTGCCAAAAATATGTCCCCAAAAGGGGTGTTTGTTGGCTCTGTACTCTGCTGTGTGGGCCTTCCCCGGAGCGAACCTGAACGTCCCCTTTTCAAGTGTCTCAGCATCAGGTGTTTGGAGAAGGAACAAACTTTGAGTCCAGCGGCACCTTTAAGACCAACTAAGTTTAATTCTGGGTATCAGCTTTTGTGTGCGGGCACACTTCTTCAGATACAGTGAAACAGAGGCATAGCCTGGGTCCATTTGACTTTGGCAGCAGCGTGCTTGAAATTAAGTGAGGAGACCTTGCCCAGGTAGGTGAACAGAAAAGCAAATCAATGAATGTGTGTCAACTCGAAGGTAAACCTTGAATGTGAGATTCCTATATAGGATTTGTTCCTGAGGAAAGACCAGAGGTCTGAAACACTTAAATATCCGGAATAAGTGTTGAAAGAGAGATTTGAATTTGGAGCAGACGGCTTTTGAGAACACAAAAGACTGTTAGAAGGATATTGACTGAGACAGTTTGGAGCAGACTGCTGTGTGTAATTTTATTGACCTTTGCATATTTTCTATGAAGGAATAAGTGGTTGTTTTTCATTACCAGACACTACATGATGTTATGGCTTTAATCTAGTCTCCTTTGTCATTGTATTATTCCGTGGGCATCTAGCACACATCTGTATATATCTTTCCTTACCAGACAGTGTGGTAGAATGCCATAGAATCCATCCTCCAAAGCAGCCATTTTCTCCATGGGAATGGATCTCTGTCGCCTGGAGACGGCTTGTAATTCTGGGAGATCTCCAGGCCATATCTGGAGGTTGGCAACCCTATCCCCGCACAGGCCACTTTTCCAAATTGCACCCCCCGTGGTGCAGTGTTCCCTCTAAGCTGAGTTCCTGTGAGCTAGCTCAGTTGTTTAGCCTCCAGCTCACCCGTTTTTTGTCTTAGCTCAGGAAGGGTGGCTCCGGAGCAAACTGATTTATGCAGTAGCCAGATCACCTGCTCAGAACTTTAAACTCAGTAGCTCACAAAGTAGAATTTTCGCTCACGGGACTGCATAGCTTTGAGGGAGCATTGCTCTGCACTGTTTTTTAAGACGTTTGCCAGAGCCCCTGGACTCAAACTTTCCTCAGTTGCTTCAGACCAACACGGCTACCCCGCCTGAATCTCTTTGGAGCCGGGTTCCTCTCGGAGCAGTTAGGGTTGTGAATGAAGGGAGGTCACTTTGGAAACTCCTCTCTCGGCAGGGACGATCCACACCATCGCCAAGCTGACCAAGACCTGCGCCCTCCGCCTCACAGTGGACAAACTCTACTTCATCCTGAGCGACAAAGTGGCCAATGGAGGGGTGGGCCTGTGGTGTGAGCTCAGCCAGGTGAGAGCCGCAGGGGAAGGAGCCGGGTCTGGAGACGCCATTTTGTTTCTCCCCCCCCCTGGAACTAGAGACAGGAGCTCACTCCATCATGCGGCACCCGGGTCTCGAACTGCTGAACTACTGACCTTCCACAGCCTGCAGTTCAGCGTCTTAACCACTTAAGCCACTGTAGCAAGTCTCAAAAGGCTTTAGATCACATATTGCAGGATTTGTCAAGAAATAACTTAATTATGGCAGGAGTAATTGCTAGGGACTTACAAAAAACACTTCCTGTTATTCCACAAGGAATGAAAGCTGATGAGTTACAGGCCTCCATCAGATCATCATACATTTGGAATAGTGTGCTGTCCCGCGCCGAGTTCTACGATGCCCTACAACACAGAACGAGGTTTGGGGGGAGTATGTGGGGAGCGGGGCGATGCTGGTCGGAGTCCCCCACAAGGCAAGAGAGGGCGGGCTCGAGGGAGAGACAGAGGACCCCTACCGTTCCATCTCAATGTTCACGCCGGGGTTATAGATCAGATCGGGACCGCTACACCACATCCCGAGACTTCAGGAGTTAAAAGGGATAAAGACAGACAGACAATGAGATTAGAGAAAACACATGTATTAGAGAAACAGATGAGGAGCTTGGAGGATAGATAGCACCTGGGAAGAAGGGAAGGTGAAAACAGTTGATTGTAACTGACAATAAAAGAAGGAAACTGTGAACACCGAGGAGGATGGAGAGCAGAGAGAACGAAGCACAGAGAGAAGGGCGGTATGCTGCTCAGAGCGAAGTTTGGAGTGTGCTGAAACACCCAATGCGCTCGGTCTGAGGTGTTGGTTTCCGGATTTAGAGAATCCTCACAACGGCGACCGGTTCCACGGCGTCTAGCAGGGAGCAGGATCTTGACAGAGTCGCAGAGTGGTGTACAATCTCCCCTCCCTTCCCCTCCCCGCAACAGACACCCCGTGAGGTCGGTGGGGCTGAGAGAGCTCTCCCGAGGACTGCCCTCGAGAGAACAGCTCTGGGAGAATTTGTGACTGACCCAAGGTCACACACCGGCCGCTGCAGGTGGAGGAGTGGGGAATCGAACCCGGTTCTCCCAGATTAGAGTCCGCGTCCGTAACCACTACGCCAAACTAACTACCAAAGCACCGTCCTCTGCACTGCTTTGCAAGTTGCTCCCCCCCCCCCCGGTTGCTTTGCCGAAGAGAACTAGTGGTGTGGTGTTCAAAATGGAAGGGGTGGGTGTAATACAGAGCGAGTTCTCGGCCAAGGGGAGATTTGCTTTGGAGGCTGGCCCTCAGCTAAGAGGCATGAGTTGCTTCATCAGCCGAGAGTCCACTTCACCCAGGACTATAACTTCCTGTTCTGACAGAAGCTCTTCAAGGTCGGAGGCAGGGATCTTTCTGTCCTGCCCCTTTTTGGCCCTTGAACAAGAGACGCCAAAGACGGAACTGGAGACCCGAAGCTAGAGAGCCAGGGTGGCGGAGTGGTTAAAGGGCTGGATTAGGATCTGGGAGACCCCAGTTCACATTCCCATTCAGCTGGGCCCTTTACTCTCGCAGCACCTTGCCTACCTCGCAGGGTTGTTGTGGGGATGGGAGAAACCTGTATGCTGCCTTGACCTCAGAGGAAGAAGAAGAGAAGAGATTGGATTTATACCCCACCCTTCACTCAGAGACTCAGAGCAGCTTACAAATTCCCTTTCCTTCCCCTCCCCACAACAGACACCCTGTGAGGTAGGTGGGGCTGAGAGAGCTCTCCCGAGAACTGCCCTTGAGAGAACAGCTCTGAGAGAACTTGTGACTGACCCAAGGTCACACCAGCAGCTGCATGTGGAGGAGTGGGGAATCAAACCCGGTTCTATCACATTAGAATCCACACTCATAACCAGTACACCAAACTGGAAGCGAGTGATAAATGTTTGTCAGATGGTTAGTTTGCTTGAGCACGTGATCCGTTGTTAAGAAGAAGAAGAAGAGATTGGGTTACTACCCCGCCCTTCACTTGGAGTCTCAGAGCGGCTTACAAACTCCTTCCCCTTCCCCTCCCCACAACAGACACCCTGGGAGGTAGGGGGGGCTGAGAGAGCTCTGACAGAAACTGCTCTTTTTCAAGAACAGCTGTGCCAGAGCTTGTGACTGACCCAAGGTCACATCAGCAGGTGCAAGTGGAGGAGTGGGGAATCAAACCCGGTTCTCCCAGATTAGAGTCCGCGCACTTAACCACTACACCAAACTGGCTCACCAAACTGTTAAGATGTGTCCTCTCCTTTGCTGCCTTAATTCTTATCCATTACACTATGCCAGCACAAAACACGCATTGGCCCTTTGGAATGACAGACAGCTAATGTGTGCAGTTTGATTAGCCGTCTTTCAAGCTGTGCAGCAATCTTTAGGAAGTATGGGTATTTGGAACAAAAAAGTCCTTTCGCGTGCAAGGCTGGTGGGTGACCGGGCAGCAATAAGTAGGCACACAAATAGAGTTAGTCTTTTGTCCTTCAAGTATGGTGGTTGTTGACCTTGTTTGATGGCGAGATAGTTGGTCCATTCCAGACATAGGTAAGGGCGTGCAAATCCCACTGAGAAGGAGGAGTAGGGTTCCCACCCTCCAGGTGGGGCCTGGGGATCTCCTGCTTCTACAACTGATCTCATGCTGACAGAGATCAGCTCCCCTGGAGAAAATGGCTGCCTTGAAGGGTGGACTCTGTGGCCTTGTACCATGCTGAGGCCCCTCCCCAAACCACGCCCTCTCCCAGATCCTCCCCCCAAAGTCTCCAGGTGTTTTTCAGCCCAGACCTGGCAACCCTCATGAGGAGACATGTTGGCAGGGTAATTAACACAGCAACAGTGCACAACCTGATTCAAGAGTAGAGAAAGGAACTAATGTACTTGATAGGAAAGAGAAGAGACAGAGACAGGTTGATAACGACATCTTCGGCTGAGAGAGAGAAGGGAGACTGAGTGTGGCGCTTCCGAGGAGAAGGGGGAAATTGCCCTAAGAGTAGCAATCTGGAGACAAACAAGGAATGACAGTTAACAGGAGAAAGAAGGTGCAGTCCTCACTCTCCTATCCAGGGGTCATTTCGTAGAAAAAGAGCTAGGGGGACTTATTAGCATAACTCATTAGCATATGTCACACCCCCTGACATCACCGGAAGTGTGTCCTCCCCACAGCCGGCGGCGACCTCCAGCGGGCACCAGCAGGGAGCTCCAGGCCCCGCCCTCCCGCACCTCACCCGGGGGGATGCCGTCCCCCCGCGTCCCCCCCAAAATGACCCCTGCTCCTATCTAATTGTCTTTCTGCTGCCCCCTTCAGGGTCTTCTTCTTTGTGCACCGGAATTTGCCATTTCCAACATAATTTATCTGAATTACAGACCATCACCTTTACTTGTTGATGATGCTAGCCCTCTTTTCTCCAGCGGAACTCGCTTTGTCAAGGGACGGAGGCCTTCAGCAGTTGGTTTGCACCCAGTGTTCTTCGTGCCGTAATTCCCTCTCCCCCCTTTGTCATTTTAGGGGAACTTCTTTGACGAGTTCCAGATGGAAGGGGTAGCCGCCGAACACAATGAGATTTATTTGGAGCTGACGCCCGAAAACCTCGCCAGAGCCTTAAAGACGGCCCAGAACGCCAAGGCCGTGAAAATCAAGTTGACGAACAAGCACTGCCCCTGCCTCACGCTCGCTGTGGAGCTGGTAAGGGGACTAGAAACCCACCCGAATCGTTGTCCCGCCTCAGTCTAATCTTTTGTCCTTGTGTTCTGTGTGCCCGTCTTCTCCTCTTTTAAAATTGTAACCGTTATATCCGACCACTGAGAACAAGCCGTTACAAACGCGAGTCTCACCAATGAAAATTCACAATTTTGAGGGGAGGGAGAATGGGGCGAGGACCTTGAAGGATCCGTACAGGCTACCTTGTTGGGCTTTAGTTTAGTAATCCGCCTCGAGTCCCTGAGAAAGGGGGACTATAAAAAACGTAAAAAAAATAAATGAATAGTTTTTGTCACTCCACCAACAGCACTGGTTCATAACTTTCAAACTTAATGAACATTTTTTTCAAAATATATTTTTTATTTTAAACTTTTTGAGGGAATACAGAATTTAAAAAGGGGTAAGGGGAAAGGAGATGCGGTGGCTCAAGTGGTTAAGACGCTGAACTGCAGGCTGTGGAAGGTCAGTAGTTCAGCAGCTCGAGACCCGAGTGTGCCGCATGACGGAGTGAGCTCCCGTCTCTAGTTCTAGCACCTGCCAACCTAGCAGTTCGAAAGCAAGAAATTGCAAGTAGATAAATAGGTACCACTTCGGTGGGAAGGTAACAGCGTTCCGTGCGCCTTGGTGTTTAGTCATGCCAGCCACATGACCACGGAAACGTCTTCGGACAGCGCTGGCTCTTCGGCTTTGAAACGGAGATGAGCACCACAACCCTAGAGTCGGATTCGACTGGCTTTCGAGCAAGGGAACCTTTACCTGAAAGAATAAAAGGTAACATTACCAAAACATAGTATAAAGGGCTCTTTTTTCCCAAATACAAAGGACAATCCTTGATTCAAATACTTGATTTTTAAGGAAAATTATAAAGCATTATAACTTAAAAAAAACGCTAACAACCTACTCATCATTCTACCATTTTCTCTTAATATATTGACATTTTTATCCTATCTTATCAGTGGGAGGGCTTCTAGTGTCCTGGCCCCACTGCTGGACCTCCTGATGGCACCTGGTGTTTTTGGCCACTGTGTGATGGAGTGTCGGACTGGATCCAACATTGGCTTCCCTTATGTTCTTCTTATGTTCTCATGTTCTTACCTTATCATTTATAGGATAAACCATGAATAACAGTTTGTTAAAATTAATGAACATTTTGGAAGGTCTACCCTTGGCCCATTTCACTACCCTTTTTCCTAGGGGCTCTTAGCTAAGCATTCCCAAAGGGCTTCCAGACCACTTCCTCAGATTTCAGTTTCTCAGCAGTGGTCCGGATGTATTCCGAGGACTTGCCAGGATCTTTGTGAATAGCTATCAAGGAGACCAGGAATGTTGCAGTTTGGAGGAGAACAGAAGAGAAGCCAATGTTGGATCAGGTCAATGGCCCATCCAGTCCAACACTCCGTCACACAGTGGCCAAAAATACCACTTGCCATTATGAGGTCCACCAGCAGGGCCAGAACTCCAGAAGCCCTCCCACTGTTGCCCCCCAAGCACCAGGAATATAGAGCATCACTGCCCCAGACATAGTGTTCCATCTATTTTGTTGTTGTCCCTCTATACGTTATGGCTAATAGCTACTGATGGACCCCTGCTCCATCTAGTGGCACAATTTAGAGGCAATACCAGTTCCCTTCTCCTTGTCCTGGTTATTCTTTTCCTGATATCTGAATTGGCGTACCTTTGTGACTGCTCTGCCTGTAAACATTTATTTGCAAACCCATTTTTAGAGCTTGGTTTCCTGCCATAGTTTGGAAGCAAGGCATTAACCTTATCATTATCAATCTGGCACCACAGTACACTATCAGTAGCAAAAATTTCAAGGTGGAGGAGAGAATTACTTGCGCCTGCAGCAATGCCGTGTTTTTCAATTTCAGTTGAAGTCATTGTTAATCATGAGTAGGAAGTGGAACCAGCTGCTCTGTTGGTAATTTCTCAAAATGTTTAATCGTATGCATGAATAAATGGTTGCAGGCTATGTTCCGAAGCCTCTAACTTGCCAAGCCATCGATTCATACAGGAGGCAAGGCCTTACCCAGCGTGTCCCAGCCTGTGCATCGATTCCTGGCGGTATCTTAGTGGAGTACAGTGGCACTGCTGAAAAACAGACAGCTCATTCAGGGATTGAGAATAAAAAGGCCCCTATTGTAATGCCCCTGCATAGTTCTATGGTGCAGCCTCCCTTGGAATACTGTGTGCAGTTCTGGTCACCATATCTCCAAAAGGACACGGCAGAGCTGGGGAAAGTACTTAGGAGGGCGACCCAGATAATTAGGGGGTTGGAGCACCCTTCCCTAGGAGGGAAGGCGGAAGAGTCTCCGGGACTTTTCAGTTGAGAAAAGAGGGGACACATGATAGAGATTTATAAATTTTTCCATGGGGTGGAGAGAGTGTTGGATCCCCAAGCATCGAGAATAAATCCACGTTTCCAAGAAAAGCAAAATTTATTTCAAAGCGTTGAAGACATACTCAAACACGTTCTTTGTTAGAACTGGGGATACACAGTTAGGGCAAGCATAATAAAGGAACTTCAAATAGATACAGGTCCAATGAATAGCTTTCCCGCTGGCGGGCTAATGAAACGGTTGCGCGCCCAGTAAATAATAACGGTGATAGGGGACAACCCTGTCTGGTGCCTTTCTGTACCTTGAAGCTATCTGTCAGTTCTTTGTTTACATTCAGTTTAGCTCTTTGTTCAGAATAGATAGCTTCAATGCAATTTCTGAAGTGTTGTCCCACTTCTATTTTTTCCATCATTTGCAGCATAAACTTCCAGTTAAGATTGTCAAATGCCTTTTCGGCATCGATAAATAAAAAAGCTACTTCTTGTTCAGGGTGTTTCTCATAATATTCAATTGCGTCCATTACTATTCTTACATTGTCTCTGATCTGTCTCTTTGGTAAAAAACCAGCTTGGTCTTCTGAAATCACTGTTTGTAAATAGTTTTTCACCCTCTCTGCAATAATTTTTGCAAAAATCTTGTAATCATTATTCAAAAGAGAAATTGGCCTATAGTTTTTCACATTCGTTGGTTCTTGTCCTTCCTTTGGTATTAATGAAATAATTGCTTCTTTCCAAGAGTCTGGCACCTTCTTACTCTCACGTATATCGTTGGATAAAGCTTCCATGACCGGAACAATTTCTTCTTTCATTTTTTTATAAAACTTTGCGGTAAATCCGTCCGGTCCTGGCGCCTTCCCCAACTTCGCTTCTTCAATTGCCTTCCTCACTTCTTCTTTTTGAATTTGGCCATTCAGTAATTCCTGAAATTCGTTGCTTATTTTAAGTAACGGAACCTTGTCCAAATATTTTTTAATCTTCTCAAGATCTGTTCTATTTGCTTGGAATAATTTAGCATAATACTTGAAGAAACTTCTCTTTATGCCAGTAGGGTCAACGAATTCTTTTCCTTCTTCTATTATTTTGGTTATCATTCTTCTTTCTTTTCTAGCCTTAAGTTGCCACGCTAAAAATTTCCCCGGTTTATTTGCCCCTTCAAAAGATTTTTGCTGTAGCCTCTTTAAATTCCAATAGAGCTCCTGGTTTAAAGTTTCATTCAGTTGTTCTTTCAACAACTGTAATTCTCGAATAATCTTCTTTTTCCCTGGTTTCTTCTTTAATTCTTTTTCTTTTTGTGATATTTTTTCCAACACTACTGTTTGTTTTTGAAATTTTTCCTTCTTTTGCTTCGCATTTTGAGAGATGAGAATCCCTCTCATCACTGCTTTATACGCATCCCACACCACCTGAATTGGGGTCTCTTTATTCAGATTTTGTTGGAAAAATTGCTTTGTTTCTTCCTTTAACATTTCAGTTACATCTTTTTTATCCAACAAATCTTCATTAATTCTCCAAAGAAAGGATTTGTTCCTTTCTATAGAAGTCCACAAAACAGGGTTGTGGTCGGAATTACATCTTGGCAAAATTTCAATTTTATGTGTTTTCATTGACAATTCTTCTGACATCCAAATCATATCAATTCTGGAAAAAGAGCAATGTCTATTGGAATAAAAAGTAAAATCCTTCTGCGTCGGGTTCCATTTCCTCCATACATCCTCTAGTTTTTCCTGCTTGACTATTTCAAAAAAGTTCTTTGGCAATTTTCCACTAATTTCGTTGCCTTTTTGTGATCTTCTATCCAAACGGTCCACAGTTCCGTTAAAATCTCCGACCAAAATGACTTGTTCATAGGTTTGTCCTTGTAGATGTTCAGTTAAGTCCTTAAAGAATTTTTCTTTTGCTCCATTGGGTGCGTATAGATTGATCACCAATGTCTTTTTCTGTTGGATCAAAACTTCCACACCCACATATCTTCCATCCAAGTCTTTAAAAATTTCTTTAGGTTGTAAATCCTTTTTCACATATGTCACAACTCCTTTTTTCTTGTTTGAGGCCGAAGAATAAAATTCTAATCCAAATTTGACATTTTTTAAATATTTAGTATCGGAATTTCTAATATGAGTTTCTTGCAAGCATATCACATTACAGTTTTGTTTTTGTATCCAATGATTGATTCTTTTTCTCTTATTTGGTGAATTTAGTCCATTCACATTCCATGACAACAATTTGTAATCCATTGTAAATTTTAAGTTAAATTTCTCCAAAGGCATCTAAATTGTCTGCCTTAAATTTATATAAGTCCGTCACCGATCTGATCTGGACCCTCCCACTTTTGTAAGTAAAGGATAAGCCTTGTGGAATCTCCCATCTGTATCTGATATTCAAGGTCTTCAGTTTGTCAGCCAGAGGTTTATACCTTTTTCTATCTTGCAATACTGCTCGTGGGAGCTCTCTCATCACCATGATCTTGTTCCCTTCAATTTCGAACGGGACGGTAAATTGTTTCTTAAAGATGTCTTCTGTTGTTGCTCTTGTTACAAATTGTACAATTACATCCCTTGGTAAATTTTTCTTTTCCGCAATTCTGGAGTTCACTCTGTATATCAAATCAAAATCTGCTTCCATTGTTCCCTCTTCCTCTTCCAAGTACAAAGTGATCGCTTTTATCATTTCCTCTCTTATGTTTTCATTCTCTTTTTCTTTGATACCTCTAAATCTCAAATGAGTTTGCATTCTTCTGAACTCCATCATTGTTTCAGATCTCCTAAATTGCTGAGTCAAAGAATCCTGTTTCTCTTCCAATTGTTGCATTTTTTCCTCTGTCTCTGTAGTTTTGGTTGCACTAGCCTGTATTTCTTTTCTGACTCCATCTAATTCTTG